TTAGTGCACTGCCAGAACAGGCCAGTCAATTTGGTTAATTATGATTAACATGAAAAATGAAACAAAAATATCAACTTCCTACTATATAGAACTCATCACATCACTGGAGGCAAGAGGTCATAGAAAATTTCACCACTGGAAATACCGATTTTTTGAAAAAGAGAACATAAAAAGGATGTCAAACTGGAAAAAAAAAATGAGTAGCATCACCCAAGCAGCTCAGGAAAACCACAAACATAAGACTTCCATCACAAAATAGTTGAGAAAACTCAAGTGGTGCCTGAACTCCATTAGTCATTTTTAAATGATAGTCCGAGTCAGAAGGCAGATGGAACCAAACAAAGCCCCTTTATTCCTCACTCCTGCATAAGTAAGCACCTTGATAGAATTCAGATGTGTCATCTCCCTGCACAGCCTCACCGCACCGTATCAGTGCAATGAGCAGGAAGAGCGCTGCTAAATGGAAATTATCTGATTAAGGCTTCAAAGATGTAATCCCTTCCAAATCGGCAGACTGGCTTTACCTTAAGGGCTAAAACAACCTGAATTACTTTTGTACATGCTGCAGGCTAAGACCATCCACATGAATAGTTACCAGAGATCGGCTAACCTGCAATGACTTGTTACCAGTTGGTTAATGAGTTGTGTCTGAATTCTGTGTTGTTTTTTTTTTTTTTTCTCCCTACCCTCAGCAATTCCAAATATTTCTGAGCATAATGAATGCCTTAATTTCATTATCACAAAGTGTACAGGAATACAAAAGAATCACTTGGGATACGCAGATAGCAGTCTGTACTTGCATTGAGACACAACAGCACCCCAAATACAAAGCAGCATTAATAGCTCCAATTGCCTAAAACAACATTAATTATCTACAAACAGAAACCATGTGCATTAAAGTAATCTCCACTGCTCAGTGGCAAGAGATCCTCCTAACACCGAGTTAAAATTGCCTTGTAATATCTTGTACCCTCGCAGAAGTTTCCAGTTCAGTTATCTGGAGGAGATGAGGTATTCGGGCCTCTTCTTTTAAGCGCAGTGGAATGCAGGCACCTGGCACGTCCCAGCAGAGCTGCCCCTCTTCAATGTGCCATTACATGTAACACTGACGCTGCCTTAGGTCGGGCGTACATCGCTTGAAAGAGAAGTCAGCATCTAACATCTTCCCTTTGTGGAGCAGGGTTTGTATCTGGGAGCGAACCATACGGCTGTCCTTAATGGCTGCATAAAACAGCAGAGCTCATTCCACATAACTCTGCCCGTGCTAAATGGCACGGTCTCTTCTCTCCTTTTAAAATCCCTTTTGTATTCACAGCCTGCCTTTTAATACTATCCTCTCTGTTACTCACCACTCCCATATCCCATAGGATACCCACCCAGCCTCTTGCTCCCCTCTGCCATGGGATGGGAGAAAACAGACAGCAGCAAGAAAGGGTTAGAAAAAAATATGGTAGTGGCCTGGGCTCTCCAGTGGTCACAGCTTTGCCAAGTGCCCGTCCATTAACTGCAGCTGTGCTCAGAAGCATGGAGCGCCACGTGAAGGCAATTTCAGAAACTCACAGCTCCTGGAAGCAGAGCCATGTGTAAACCCTCTGTAATTCAGGGTTTTCAGCCATTTATGTTCTGCTGACCTCAGCATTTCCATTCTAAGGAAATATTCCCTGGCACACCAGCTCCAGGGTGACAAAGGCTCTCGCTGATAAATAAGGTAGCGCTCTCCACCCTCTTTGTTCAGATATAAATCCCTTCACCGAAGTCAGGCCCTTTGCATACTTCTGTCTACAGCATTTACAACTGCCTGTCTCACTGATAAATAATAAACTTCTACAACTGCCTGTCTCAATGATAAATAATAAACTTCGGAAGGGTCAGGTATTCATCCAGTGCTTACTGCTGCCCACAGAGGAGCTCAATGCGAAAATTTAACGTCACGTTATATAGTTGTATAGGCATTTTGCCCCAAAGAATAATACTTCTAAATACTAGGACTTGTCACGGGGCCGATTGTGATTTTAGACATTATTGGTGCCCATACTGAAATCCATTCCTTACTTTTTTCCTAATTTTCTCCAAGAGAATCAAAGTGAAGAAATTGGTTTTATTGGATTTTTTTTTTTTTTTTTTTTTTTTTTTTGAAATAAGAAATGGAAAGTAATAAGGTTCAGCAGTGATAGAACAATGGTGAAGGTGGGAGCTACAGCCACATGGAAACCCCTGGAGACAAACATCAAATGCAATAAAGAAACTCCAGGGCCAGAATGTGAGCTCTGAAAATTCAATTTCTTTTCAAGAAGAATGGAGGTTTCAGAGGTCATACGTGATTTCAGCCATGCTCTTAAACAGATAACCTTTTAGCATTTGTTTGAATAAATGTAAAAGCATTACGTTAAAAAAATAATAATGGAGCAGCTATTCTGGGCAGTAGCATAATAAGATATTTCTGCCCATGAAGGAAACATTTAAAAATATGAGCTCTTCTCTTGGAACACTTTTTTTTACTGCTCAACTTTTTCTCTGCCTTTTTTTTTTTTTTCAGTAACTGTTTTCCAATAACTGTTTTCAGTTACCTTCTATCCTTACCCACTCTTTTCACATTCAAGTTGTTCATAGCTACTTTGTGTTATTACTAATGGATCATCACTATAGCACCTCAAAACCTTTAGCATGCAACTAACAGAAACAAAAAATGACACAGAATCTAACAGTAAAATAACATAATCTAGCTGATGAAAAAGACTTTTTGACATTTTAACTGCTAATTTGGGTCTGCAAATCAAAGAAAATAGTTATTTGCACAAACTTATGGGAAATTTCTAAGCAGATCCAAACTCTTACTGTAGTAGAAGGTTCAAGTTAGAAGATTGTGTAAGTACGGGGAATATGTATCATTTCTCTCCACATTTAAAGAGTCCATTTTTCTGTTTCTATTTCTACCTGAAATCAATGAAAGGGTGAAAAGATATGTTCAATATCTCATGCAGCAGAATGGAATTCTCTCCGACAAATCAGAATTTTGGCTATAAAATTAAATTCTCATCTCAAGTAAGAAATTAAAGAAATTAACCACGTAATTTCACTTCTGATGTCAATTTGTTTAGCCTTATCTTTGTAATCAGCTAATGTACCTTCTGATTGCTGATGACACGCTTGCTATCACATGCAGAAGATAACAAACTTCAAGAAGAACAAGAAATCAGGAAACAGATGGAAGTAAGCATATAAAAAATATAAAATATTTTGTCTTCCAACTTCCTCCAGTCTCCAAAGTACAACAGTGAAGTCATCCAAAAGAACTAAAGTGGACCAGATATATTTATTTTCTATCACAAAAAATGAAAGAAGGAGAGGGATGCTCTTCTGAAAAAGAAATAATGGGTACTTTCATAGGCATAATAGGAGACAAAGCATAAAGCAGCATAAAGACATTCTTCCCCTCCATCTACCTTTCACATCAGCTACCACACAGTGTTAAATACCAGTCCTGTGTACTCCACAGACCTGTTATTTTTATAGATTATGGCACTTTGATATCACACTTTAGCTCAAGTTTGTCTACAGGCTCTGCAAGTGCAGAGGGAGCGGTGCTGCAATGTCATGCGTGGAGCAGAATGGCAACCAAGGAGTGCACGTCTTGATGAACGGTGCAGGAGGAAAGGCTGCTCTCAGTGGGTGCCCCTGTGTGTACTTGCAGCAGCATGAAGATTTTTGTTTGTATGTACATGCACATCTTAACAAGCTCCGTCAAACAAAAATGCTGCATAACCCAAGTGATGTGTGTTAGTGTATCTATTCTGAAAGATAAAAGATTTAGTTAGCTGATGTAACCCATTTTGTTTAGCACCCATAGAAATTTAGCTCAAGGTCAAAAAGAGGGAGAGAGAGATAAAAAGGTTGGGATAACATTTGAGAATCTGTCAAGAATTCCACTGATTATTTTCAGCCCTCTAATTTCTTTCTGCCCCAGTAGGAAATCTAAAGTTTCCTGTGAAATCTTTGTTCTCCAGAGCATTCTCCACATATTTGCTACTAAGCAGCCACTTAAAGGCCCACATAGATGTCTGCTGGATTCTTTTTCTTACCCATGGAAGCCACCAGTATGTAGTGAAACTAAATATCCTAACCTACACATTAAATGTGTCCTTTTTATGATAAACAGTTTACAAGATCATTGATGTGGGATGTACCGTGATGGGTAGTTAGGGTATTTAAGCCAAAAGTAATTTCCAGTTAAGGAGTACAGTAACAGTCGGACCAGAAGGGTTCTTAAGGCTTTATCACATGGAAAATTCTCATCTGCTGAGTTCATACCAATCCATAAAGAAAAAGCAGGGATTGTCACAGCCGTGTTTATTATAAATCCAGATGCTGCACTCCCAAGAGATAATAGAAAAATAGGTACTGTAAAAGATGAATGTACATGATGAAGGGTAAAATTCAAAAGCTCAAAACCAGCCCCAAGGTGATGAAAGGAGCAGCCAGCAATGAATAATAAACATTCTGACAAATAATAATTTAGTGTATTAAATGCTGCTGAATCTTCTTCTGTGGCCTATTTATACCTCAGGAGAAAAAAAAAAATCTAAAATACCCCTAGGAAAGTATTTTCAGACATATTCCAACCATGCTTTACTGTCGTGTGTTTATTTATGATAGTTTTGATTCCAAATGTTGTAAAGGAAAACCCTACCCCTTTCATTTCTGTAAATCAGTTCATTTTTCATTTTTAAGTATGTCTGGTGCTAGGACTTATTGCAGATAACCACAGAGCACAACATGTGCCCAAAGGCAACACATTCAGATTAAAAAGGTCTGACACAGGACAAGTTTGGGAGAATCAGGAGCTGAGATCTTTTTTCCTGCCAAGCTACAAGCATTTGCCAAGTGCCAGCTATTAAGGCAAATCTTTGTTATTAGGCCTACATCAAAGCTTTTTTGATAAAGAACAGCTAAAGAACAGCCGTAGCTTCAAGTAATCCACATGTCACAGCAATTTTCTGTTACTTAATTCTACTCTTGCCTTACCTCGTATCTCAAAACAAGAGCTGAACTCGTTTATGCCAAGAGACGGTCAGCTCTGCAAGGAGCTAATGCTCTTCTGGTGCAAGTCATTCTGCGTGCAAGCAGAGAAGCCATTTCCTCTGAAGCACGGCTTATCATTGCTCAGGTTTGGGAAGTTCAGTATGAAGCTCTGCTCACACTTTTGGTATATATGTCTTCTTCTCTAGTGTGACAGCTTTTTTAATAAAATTTGTATATTTGTAAGTACTTATTCTCATAAATACTTACCCATAAGATATTAATATTATTGCAAAAGTCATAGGAAATGTTTTGTTAGATCAGAACTGTATTCTCAACCTGCAAGTATTCTGGCAGCAGTCAGGGACCGGTGTTTCAGACAAAGAAGTTCCACACTTCAAATTCTGTTTTCTGTCTTTCAAAAACAGTTCCTGCAAGTTAACAAAGCTTACAAAGGCTACAAAGTGCTTCAGCACTTTCCACTCTCTTCACCTTCTTTTCCACAGATACTCCTGGAAGGCAGTCTCCTGTTAATGCCAGTTCTTCAACAAAATGCTGACTTTAAAATAAATATGTAAGTAAGTAAGTAAGTAAATAAATAAATAAATAAATAGAGCTCTTAATCTTATAGTAGTGCAGCCAGATATTTGATGAAACTTCTCGACTATACAACTACAAGTATAATAACAAGTAATTTCAAAGAGGTATCTTCCACTAAGCTTTACGACAAGTTTTGTTTTGCTGCAGACAGCCTCTGTAAGAGTATGTGGAATATGAATGAGGGCATTTGGTTCACTAACTAACGTGGCTAAGGACAATTCAGTACAAAAGAAATAACAAATAACAGTTTAAGTGGTATGTTACACACACAGAGATACACAGAAATTACCAACTGGGTGGGTGGTAACAAAGACAAGAGTGAAGAACAGCACTCTTAAGTGACGAACTGATGGGCCAGTAAAGGAACACCCCAAAAAGCCACATTGAAGAGCATCAGCCTGTGTCATTGATAAAAAGGGGAAAACGTTATTATCTCAATAATTACAAAATATTTGAGGGGGCATATGGAACTGTGCAAAACTTTTTTATGAGGTGTCAGCAGGGGCTTGTGAAGTTATGTAAAATTTACAGGGGGTGTTTACAGAAATGGCCAAAAGCAGGAAAGGAAGGACCAGGGTGGATCCATGAGCAAGTGTGGAGAAATGGGGGGAGAAAGATTCTTCTTATTAAAATTCTTTCTTAACTATTTATTCTGTATAAACTCACTCTCCTAGGCAAGGATATCAGATGGGCTGGGGGACTGTGCCACTGTGTGAGGGATCTGCAATGCGATGTGAATTGGGAATTCCAGTCCTGAGCAGCCAGGCAGGGAGAACAAGACTTCTCTACCTTATCTACAATTTCTGGTAGTGTTGCATGTATGTCTGGCTGTGTCAGTGTCCCCTCTATGTGTATGCAAGTGTAAATACTTGTCCAGCACCTGGTTGTCTCCTACAAAATGTACATGGCTCCACTACAGCAACCAGGAAGGAACAATCCCCAGGTCCTGGTGACCACAGGATTCAGCAGTTCCTGTAAGAACCTTCAGTTTCTTGTTAAAACATCCACTCTATGGAAGACTCACAGGAATAATAAAATAAGTGAATGTAAAAGGAAAATGCTGAGTTTTATTATACCTATAGTTTTATTATACATATACTTTTATATTATATAGAATACTATCAAAATGTTGAAGAAAAAATATAGCACTCAATGGCTACAGTGTTCTTACAGACACTACTTTTAACATTTAAAATGTATCACAAAGGAAATTTTAGAATAATTGCACTGAAGTGAGATACAATTCACTGAATGGTATTGCAAGTAGTCTATCACGCAATTAATGCTATCTTCCACACAATAAAGGAGAAATCTGTGCTGTTGGTTTGCCTGCCATCCTTCCGAACATCTTTTACCATACCAATTGCATTACAACGTGTCTGTGATGATACTATTTACCAATTGAGCTGTGGGAAATATCTCACTGCAATGGTATTTAACAGCCAACTCTGGATTATATCTCCCTTTGCATTTAGCACAGAATTATGACTAGTTCAAGCTCTCATTTACTTGCTTTTCCTTTTTATCTCATTGTGTATTAGCAGCTGTTATCATTGCAGTTCTGTATTCTAGCCGACACCTCTAGTGTGTGATGTGCTGGCAAAGTGTTCTTAATGAGGAATAACTGCCTGTCTTTGGCAGTTAATTTTGTGAAAGAAAAAGAAGGAGGAGGAGGAGATTACTTCAAGAAAAATAGAGTTCATCTACTAAGGTTTTGCTTTGGAGTCTTTCTGAGTGGTTTTGTCTGATTTTTTTATACAATGAAACTAAGAAATTAGACAAACTGGGATACCACGCCAGTATGAGAATAGGTCAGCAACACGAATGAAATGTAATAAAGCACAACAAATTCAGCATACCACTTAGCTCACAGAGCAGGACGAGTACCCACGTATGCCCATGACACTCATGAACACACGGAGCTACTCCCTGAATACTGCTGGAAAGGACTTAACAGTAATGTACTGCCAACAGCTCACTCATATCCCATGGAAAATACTTTAAATCACCTGTTCTTTGCACTTTTCATCTTGCAAGCACTTTTTGTCCCCATTTAAATATTTTAATTTCTAGAACAGTAACTAATTGCATTGCTTTTCAGCTTCTTTTAACAGTAAGTAACTTTTTTGGAAGCAGACGTTCCCAATACCTATTTGTTAACACAGAAGCAACAACAATACAGTATGACAGGTGGGTATTTGCCTAAATGACCTTAGAGCAGACTGACTGATTACAATGAGCAAATTGGCAGGTACCTGCAGTACCTTGCTTGTAATACAGTTGTCCCTGGCATTAAGATATCTCCTGTTGGACCTGCACAGAGCCAGATGTCTCTAATTATAATTTCGATGGTGTTAAGATATCACATTCTCTTTGCATGCCTAAAACACTGGCATTAAGTTCTGTTTGTTAACTGCCAAATATCTGGTGCGCTCAGGTTTTCAGATGAACAGGGAGAGGTTTGTGCCATCCAGCTTTCTGAATGGCAGCTGTTTCCCCATGCCACAGTGAAATGGCATTGTTTATGCGTTGTGAAAAAAAAAAAAAAAAGTATTAAAATGCAGAATACATGCCTTTCAACTTTAATTTTGTGCACATAGAACTTGATATACATAAACATATCTACTACAGCCAAACGTTGCAAGGAGGAATTGAATAATCCTGCCTAAAAGTATGCCAATGCATGACTGAACTACACTGACGTTGAATTCTCTGGGACTCTAATTATGGTTTAATGATTATACTGATTTAGGGGAAAAAAAAAAAAAATGCGTATTTCTGCTCTTAACAAATGGTAGGCGCTAGAACAGTGTCCCAAAACACAGAATAATTAACTAGTTTACAGGTAATCTGCGTGCCTGAGGCGACTCGCTGGCCTCATACAGCTGTCCTGCACCATGGGCAGGACACACAGCTGGCTTTCCTCTGCTACACACCCGGCACAGCAGATTCCCAGAGGTGGAGAAACACATGGGAGCGAAAAAACGAGGCTGAAGGAGCTGGGCCTGTTTATCCTGGAAAAGAGAAGACTGAGGGAGACCTCATCAATGTGTGTAAATATCTGAGGGGACGGTGTTGAGAGGACGGAGCCGCTCTCTTTTCAGTTGTGCCCAGTGACAGGATGAGAGGCAATGGGCACAAACTAAAGCACAGGAGATTCTGGCTGAACATGAGGGGACACATCTTACTGTGAGGGTGACAGGGTGCTAGGACAGGCTGCCCACAGAGGTTGTGGGGTCTCCTTCTCTGGAGATACACAAGCCCCGCCTGGATGCCATCCTGCACAAAGTGCTCTAGGTGACCCTGCTCGGCAGGAGGGCTGGACTAGGTGATCTCCAGAGATCCCTGCCAACCTCGGCCGTTCCGTGACTGTGATAAAGGAGAACGAGACCCGATACCGACGGACACGGAGGCGGGCGGCACCCGGCGGGGCGGGGGAAGCGGGGCGGGCTCAGCGCGGCTTCCGCCGGCGGCGCCATGAAGCTGCGGCGGCAGAAAGCACGCCAAGAAGAACATGGGCTTCTACAAGAACAACTTCCAGTTCCGAGAGCCCTTCCAGGTGCTGCTGGACGGCACCTTCTGCCACGCCGCGCTCCAGAACAAGATCCAGATCCGCGAGCAGCTGCCCGGCTACCTGGGCGGCCCCACGCAGCTCTGCACCACACGGTCGGTACGGCCGGGCAGCGCGGCGCATGCGCGGGGTGGGAGGTGCCCGCCCGCGCTCGGCTCCTCCTCAGGCACCGGCGCCATTTTGGGAGGGCGGTGGGGCTGGGGGCGGCAGGGGTGCGCTCAGTTAGGGCGTGGAGGGATGGGAGATTTTTTTCAGAAGCAGCTGCTTTTTTTTGAATTTATTTCCCCAGATGACAAATATGTCAAATACTGCGGAAGAGATGGTAGGGCGGGGGTAACCTGGTGTGTCGGTGGCACGTGGCTCAGTTTCTCCCAGTGCCCAGCGTGGTTTTGGCAAAGTGAGGTCAGCAGAGGCAAGCTCAGTCTCTTGTGAGGGTTGGAAGTAGTGCTGGGCTGGAATTCCAGCCTGCCGGTATCATATAATCAATAAATGTGGAAAAGACCTCCCAAGATCATCTGGTCCAACCACCCCCCTACCACCAATGTCATCCACTAAACCATGTCCCTAAGCACCACGTCCAACCTTGCCTTAAACACCCCCAGGAGCTCCACCACTTCCTTGGGCAACCCGTTCCACAGAGTGGCTGCTCTCAAGGATGTGCTAGACAACGATGTGGAAGCAGAGCGTGTAAAATAAAAACTTGCCTTGAAGTTGCCATTGTTTTTATTTGACTTTGCGTAATGCATGCTATAAAATCGCTATCACCTATGGATGGAATAGCCTGCTGCCCATCACAGAGGCACATACTGAAAATATCAGGAAGATGTATACCCTTGAATAAAAAAATAACCACTCTGCCATCCTATAGCACACATAGAACTGCCCCATACTTCTAAACAGTTGAAAGTATCAATTCATACCTCTAGTTTTTAAAGGTTTACAAATCACTGATCAAAACGTTATTCCAATTGTTTAAATGTCACTTCATCCTTCTTTAAACACTATACATGGGTATTTTTGACCTGTTTTTACTTAGGATAGCAGAACAGACTCATTTTCTTCTACTGCAAGCACACTGTAGTAGGTGAGGAAGGGCACCTATTGCATGACCCGGACTTCCCTAAGGAAGTGATCTTGCTCACTACGGGTGTCTTTACAAAAAGAACAATCTGAAACCTCCATACTTTCCCCAAAAGCTTAAAATTTCTTCTCAGAAGAGAAGAATGCTGCTATTTAATATCTTGGAGATATTTCTAAGATAACTGTAAAATAAACAGTTATCTTAGAAATATCTTACATTCTTAAAGCTGTATTTCAAGGCCATACATACATGTGGAAAGAGGTAGGAATGTAATAGTAAGACTCAGTAGTCAAAGTAAGTTAGGTATATTAGGTTTCATCCCCTCCTCATTTCTGAATTTCATGCAGTTAGGATCCAAGCTAGCATCCTTATAGACTGCTATGCTGTCCTGTACCCATGTTAGCTCTAAGCAGAGTCAAGAGGAGGACTCCACCTTTGCATTTTATTGTCTTATTGGAATGCTGTGAAGCCATAAACTTCCAGATTTTTAATTATGTGGAGAGCCTTTTAGCTTCTTTTGCGTGATTCAGCTGGATTCTGACACAAGTTTGAAGTGAGGTGATGGATACCAATGCAGAGTTTAACTTGCATGTAATGTTTAATCAATTTGTGCAGATTCAGATAATTTTGTCAAGTAGTGGTTCAGGTGCATAAACATTAGGATTTAGCATTGTCTTTGATACAAAATATCTTAAAATCCATTTAATGTAACTTAGTGTTGTTATCTGTGTTCCTTTGTTTGGAACCAAGGAAGTGTCAATGAAGCATTTGGGGTGGTTAATCCTTTCAGATTACTGGGTGCCATTTACAGATCGCAGAGCCTGACTAGGTGGGCATTGCTCATTCCATATTAACTCACATGCAACAATTAATGATGTCAACCTTTTACTGCTGTAAAAAAAAAAAAAAAAAAAAAAAAAAGTTATTTCCTTGTTTAGAAATCATTGTTACTTTTGTTTTTTAGATGTGTTCTGAAAGAATTGGAATCATTGGGGAAACCGCTGTACGGAGCAAAATTAATTGCCCAAAGATGTGAAGTTCAAAACTGTTCTCACCAGAAGGATCCTGTGAGTGGCTCGGCCTGTTTACTTTCCATGATTGAAGAAGGCAACCCTCATCACTTCTTTATTGCTACCCAGGTAAATGCTCATGGGAAGTGTAATACCATTTCAATTGATGTTATCCTTTGATACCTAAGGATAATGAAACCTACGGAAACCTCAATTACGAGATTTTTAAATAGCCTGTGGAAATTAATCTTGTAAAGCCTTCGTCACTCTTAAATGTAATTGCTAATTATGAAATAGAGAATATTCTGTATTACTTGATATTACTTGAACAGTTTGTTTGCTTTACCCAAGAAGCA